GCCGAACTACCGGGACGACACGGAGTATCAGTAAAGTAGGAATATTTTATTTAAACAACGAAGCATCGGAGGCGTCACTTGGAGCGGTGCAACAAAATACCAGCCCCGCACGGCCTCTGGATTTTAAAAAAATCATTTCTACCACATAAAGAGTAGCGTTGGACCGAGTTCGCGTTGTTTTTTAAAAAAAAAATCCTCATCCTTCTACCTGACAGTAAATGAAGAAGGGGTAGTTGTGGGTACGTGTATATACATACATGTTGAACAGTGCTACCACAGTTACACTCACACAGACCTGCCTTTCATTAATTCCCCGTGATCATACACGTTACTAGCGTCGCTAACAAAGAACAAAGATTTCAAGTAATCCTCCACTGATCTCTAGTTGATTTACGGTATTATGAGAAATCCTATTCGTACCCAGTTGCTGCAAGAACAGAGTACCACGCTGTGTCCGCTGTTTTAATTTTTTCTCGCAAATTTAGTGCAAAGGATTATCAACATCTATTGATAAACCTGTTAAAATATCAGCAATTCACACCATTATACCTTTTTAATGCATGAATGCAAAAAAAATTATGACAGTTCTCGCTTTTAGACAATTAAAACGAAGAGAGCGATCTTTTTGTGGCAAGTTAATAAAATTTCCTAAGGTTAAATTCCAGAGAAGCTGTACATAAAGTTATTTAGTGCTAAAAATCTACAATACATTTTTCAAGTATAAGATACTGAAATATTATTGCCAATAAATAGTTGTGCTGTAGTCAGAGCCATGGTTCCTTTGTTGAATCATTCACATCTCAGCATATTAGGATTTAGTTTCTCGCTGAGTTTATGTATTAAAATCGCTAACTCTTCTGTCGCTTGGGACTTATCCTCCAAGAGTTCGTAGCGAAGGCTGGAGATATCCTGTTTGATTTCCTTTAATTCACCTGTATTAATCATTGAAAGAAATACTTGTTAGCAAAGTTAAACGCTCACTCGATAACCCTTCTGTGAAGTCACCTCGGTGCCTATTTCAGATTATTATCTCAAAGCCTCCAGGAGAGCAGGGACGGGGCGGGGCAGGAGGCTTTACCTCTTCTTCGTTCCCAATGACATGCGAGTGTGTCTCCACCCCTAAATAGCACCAAAGGTGTTTTAATAGTCCACTGAGCCCCAGCATTGTGCTCCACCTGTATACGGAAGATCACAGATTCAAAAAGCGCTTTACGCAGGTTAATGAATCAGTCATGGCAACACTGCTGTACAGCTGGTTCGGTGCCGTAAATATTAGTATCCCCCTTTCAGAGAGAAAAGGCAAAGAGATTTTTTCTGAAGTGCTGTGCCAAGATCACACAGGGAAAGCGTGGCAGAGCTGCCAATAAAACTCACAGCTTCTGAGTCTTTCTCCTCTTCCTTACCAATATCCTTTGAATTAGAAAAAGTCAACCAATTTAAACTTATGTTACAATTTAGGGAAGTGATCGTGCCCCTGTACTCGGCACTGGTGAGGCCGCACCTCAAATACTGTGTTCAGTTTTGGGCCCCTCACTACAAGAAGGACATTGAGGTGCGGGAGCGTGTCCAGAGAAGGGCAACGAGGCTGGTGAGGGGTCTGGAGAACAAGTCTTATGAGGAGCGGCTGAGGGAGCTGGGGTTGTTTAGCCTGGAGAAAAGGAGGCTGAGGGGAGACCTCATGGCTCTCTACAACTACCTGAAAGGAGGTTGTAGCAAGGGGGGTGTTGGTCTCTTCTCCCAAGTAACTGGCGAAAGGACGAGAGGAAATGGCCTCAAGTTGCGCCAGGGGAGGTTTAGATTGGACGTGAGGAAAAATGTCTTTACTGAAAGAGTGGTTAAACATTGGACCAGGCTGCCCAGGGAAGTGGTTGAGTCCCCATCCCTGGAGGTATTTAAAAGACGTGTAGATGAGGCGCTTAGGGACATGGTTTAGTGGGCACGGTGGTGTTGGGTTGACGGTTGGACTCGATGATCTCAGAGGTCTCTTCCAACCTTAATGATTCTGTGATTTGACACAAGTACAAAAGACGCATTTAAAAGAACCAACTGTCAAAGCCAGGCTCGTAACAAGCAACAGCATGTCTTCCGTTACAGGACATTCAGTTCAAGAGCAGAAGCTTTTTAAAATATTCAAATACTATTCTTCCAGCAAGCGTGAGGTATGTGAATTCTTACACAGTAGCCACTGCAGGAAATGATGTGTCACGTATGAAAGAGAGACTATGAAAGAACACCTAAATTCTCTAGTGATGCAGAACAGGGAAGAGTCCCTAGACTGACTGACATTTAAAATAGCTGCAGTACATAAGAATGCAGAAGTTTTCTACTTAGAATATAGCAGACTTTAAAAATTGTATCTTCAAAGGCTGGATCTATACTTTGGGTACCAATGGGATGGGTATGACACAACGAGCACTACCTTTGCTATGCAGCTGAAGACTGAGGTTCAGGGGTTAGCCAACTTGCTCAAAGTGGACTTTCCTCTACAAAACTGGTGATAAAGCAAGAACCATGATGTCCACGAACCATGATTCTTCCGCGCCGTCCTGCTTATCTAAACACATACATGCCGATACCACCCAGGCATCAGGGAACTGGAAAGACTTGTACGTCCCTGGCGCGGTTGGCGAGAGAACAGTCTTTTCATCAGTCACTAGGCAGATGATTTCCCCCATCACAGAGCAGGAACAGGAGGAAAGCAACGGGAATTCAGGAGAGGGGCGCAAAGGGGCACGCTGAGAGGAAGACACTTCTAGGAGCTTCTCTGCTTTTGTCACTCATGAGCTCAGCTCTGTACAGCCACATAGGCTGGGGAAGAGTCAGGGTAACAGTCAATGCACAATGCTGCCTTTTGAAGGCACAGAGCGGGATTTAATTTAGATCATCTTTTCTGCTCCCTGCTTCTCGCTGCGGAGAGTTACAGGTAAGCAGAGAGTAACTAACAAGCAAAATAAAAGCTATGCTGCCTTAGCCGAGAGAGCAGCCCCTTCAGGCCCTTCACATCATACACGCACGCAGCCACCTGATGCTCCGATGCCTCTAAAAGCTCTTCTGATCCCAAGTTGTTCATCACTGCACGCTGGCTGGAGAGCACAAGGCTGCCAGCAGAGTGGCTTGGGTAAGCGTTCCCCGTGCACCGAAACCAGCTAAACTAGCCCAGACCAGAACTACTTATGCTAAGCAGGTATGTTTTTCTGGTGGCGGTCACACGGATTTCTTACTGGCTGAACCATGATGGTTATAACCTCCAGCCTATGGGGAACAAAACCACTGCTGGGGTGTTACACTTCCAAGAGCAGAGCCGGCGCTGGAAGGGACGTCATTCTACTGCCTGATAATCTTTTAGCTAGAGTGCAGAATAAATACGCCCCATGTTGCACACAGCCCTATTATTTTCTTTGCGGACCTGCCCAGAGCTCCTGTAGGCCTGCGTTTCATTCCTGGAAGGCTGGAGGAAGGAGGACGGCATTTGCCTTAGTCTCATCCCAATGGGGAGTCGGGGTGCGCGCTTGGAGCATGCAGCCCTCACTGCTACCAGGCAAGTTCCGCACTGCCAACAGACACCAAGCTCAGATCCATCGTTTCTCAAAAGATCTCCGGTCGCACACTAAAATAGTGGCTACAGTTGTCATTTTTCTCACCGTGCAGCTGACTCTGTGCAGCTTTGTTTAATGATGTGCAACTTCACACATGACTATTCCGCACAGCTTTACGAAAGAAGGTAATACAAGTAGTTCATGGCGTAAAGTGGTAAACTGTGTGTTCAGTTGAATGAAACAGAGAGAAAGATGTCCTGCAGCTCTAACTAGGGCTCTGGAAGTATGAATACAGTTAGCAGCTTCCTCACACGCTTCCTCTGTAACCGTGTGTCATGTCTGTGCTCTCGTTTTCCACCTATAAATGGGGCCCATAGTATTTCTCAGTTCTACTTCTCCGGTCCTGCTTGTCCATTTTGGTTGTCGCAGGCATACTTCCACTACTATCTACCTGAGTTCAGTGCATCAGAAGTAGAAATAAACCCTCTTTTTACCTGAAACCTCCACGCGCCACTGTAATACCGATTCCTAATACAACGTGACAAAAACTGTCTCCAAATATTGCAAATGCGGTCTCTTTCTTACCTTCATTTACTTCATCATTTTCTTTGTCCACTTGTGCTTTCAGAACATAACGTTTTATCAGTCTTTTCATTATTTGCTGCCAGATTAAAACAGTTACATAATCAGGTGAGCATATCTAATTAAACTCTATTCACTTTTCTTTCTTAACTATCCCCTCACACCTGTATAAGTGAAAGAATGAACAGCCCCAGATCAAGCAGTTGCCTCATCTGGGCTTTTTTGGTGGCATGCGGAGATTCATCATTTCAATAAAGCACCTTTTTCATCCCATCACCTCTTATTTACAGAGCACCACGACTTTTTGTAAGGAACAGGACAACAGGAAAATACATCTAAACACACCTAATTTAGGCTTTAAGTAGCTTCAGAATAGGTCTACTCCTTGTAAACTCAGGTCACATGTGAAAGGATGTGTAATAGCAAGAGATAAATATTTACCTTTTAAAAAGAAAGAAAAGTTGAGATTTTACAGTATGACAGTGCAATGTCAGCTGTAAAGGATTCATTAAGATTATATCTGTATTTTTATACCGTGACTGCCAGGGTTCCTTGTATGTACTAGTATTTTTGTACTGTGTTACCATACCTAATGTAATGTAGCTCGCCTAACAGAATTTGCACAGGTGGATTACATACCTTCAACACTTTCACTAGGGGAACAAGAGCTCCTATTTACTCTTATTTCTGAGCTGGAAAGAAGACAGGAAGGTAATATCTAACAGACTCCTCTTACCAGAAAGGAGCATTCCCATCTGCAGGAATGTTGAATGTCACATCTCAGATCATGAGAAGAAAGGAAGGGAAAGTAATGCTGACCTAGTCAGCTCAATGCTTTCACATCCCTTCCGCAGAAATCAGTTTCAGATGTTTGCTTCTCACACTTTCCAAACTGGGAAATCAAAGGAAAATCTAAGTTTTGTATGGGCTAGTTTTTAAACGCTTCAATGGGGCTTGAACAATAACTGTCTTTTTTCCAGTAGCGTCCTGGAGTTTGATTTCTACAGGAGATTTTCTTTATCTTGGTGAAGGCAAAATGTACCTGAAACACAAAATTCTGCTAATACCTTCACACAGTTTTATTACTCAAAACAGTGACCACTGTATGTACTGACCTGATAGCGTGTTGGCTGATTGAGAATGCTGTTAAAACTGTGCGATTCAAAAACTCTGGAGTTCGACTGAGTGAAAAGGTTTAACTAGGAAAAAATAAGACAAAATTAAAATATTTTATGGAATTCACAGTTAGAATTCAGCTCCATTTTTTTTGTCTTGGAGACATCTTGGGGATGTCTCCAGAGTCACTATATCAGAATATTATTTCCAAAAATACACTGAGATTGCCTTAACTTATTTGGATTTTGTTTTTAAACGCTGATAATCTTAGCCATCCTGTTCACAGCAAAGCTTCAAAGCAAATGTGCTTGCACAGCTGAGGAGATAATGAATTATGACTTGGAGGCAGGGGTGAGTGGCCAAAGCAAGGAGAGACTTTCTAAACTGGCTTTAACAAAGAGCTGTTGTGGATCTGCACTCTTAAGCATGCTTTTAACTACAAATACATGCTCAAAACCATTTCTGCTTAGTTCAAAGTGTTTTTCCAAAGCACCATTTTCAAGAATAGTAATACATTTAGAAAAATTGAGATTGTTCAATTATTTGAGGATCGCAAAGCCATCACATCCCAAATAATTTGAGATTTTTGTAGCAGTGGGCTAGAAACAGAAGGGGAAAAAGCCACCTTGGACAAGATGGCTTTGTGACCAACGCAGAAGGTTTATTACTACCAAATCAGGGACCTAACTCTTCTCTCGGATACACTGGTGAGGGTGAAGTAAAAAAATGTATATCTACAGCAGAAGGTTCAACCCCCTAATCTGCATCTGTCATTAATTTTCTGTGCAGCCAATTAGAAGTCACTGAATCAATGATAGCTGACCTCTCTGGTGGGGCAGGGGAGCAAACCAAAGTCAGCCTCCATCTATATAGTAAGTTGGATGCTTTCCGTAACTGCCGTGGGTTTTGTGCCTATGCTGCATACAGCCTGTCACTTAAGCTGGGCCACAAGCCGGCTATTTTTACCTACTCACGGTCGCCCACCTTCTTGTGGGCAATGAGGCATCAGCTCAGCCACCTTTTTTATTAGGGAGTGGGACAGGATTTATCTTTGCACAGTGTAACACAGAAGCGTGCCAGCCCAGCCTGACACAGGGGATGCTGAGGGCTGCCTTCCCCAGAGAAGAATAATTTGGTTTGTAGTTCAAGGAAACTGGCTCCACCTGAGCTGTCTCAGCAGCGACTCAGACAGGATTTTAGTTCTTCGGTGACTTACATTCTAAGTATGATAGTAAGTACTGCTGTGTGATACGTAAGCGCTACTGAATGTTTTGTTATAAAAGTGTATCTTAGGGTGTTGAGGTTTGTTTGGTTTGTTTTTTAAACACATCATCTGTACAGGGACTGGAGAGAACTACTGAAGTTCAGGCACTCGGAGCACTAGAGAGCAAAAGATGAGCAGTTAGTACCAAAAAAGTGCTTCTAGCTAAACGGATTTAAATCGACATTTTTATAAACATGTATCTACTTTCACTGCCTACAGAAAACTGGAGAAAATATTTTCTTTACTGAAGATTCAGTACCACCAACAAGCTCAGAAGTCCTAGGCTCCAAAGAGATCTTTCAGAAAAGATGACTAGACTTAACATTTCTGATAATTTACCATAAAACAAATAAAAATTCTTTTCAAGGTATTGCTTTCAGTCTTTGTAATACACAGGGCCTTGAGCCTAACTTGTAAAAAAAGTCACATGTATCCTCTTCAACCCATCTGTGCCCGTTTGCCATCAGTAAAACAGGGGGAATTGTTACCTAATTCTCACAAGGGCATTGTGACCCTGCATTCCATTAATATTTGTAAAGAACATTTAGATACCCAAATTTAGAATGTCACGGAAGTGCTGAAGATTATTATTACCAATCCCCCCTTTTTCCTGTTGTCTTCTGTTGAGAACATAGCTTTTGACAGTAGGATGTGAATATCATACTGACCACACTTTATCCTCTTCCTGCCCTAGTGAAAGGATAAGTTGTCTCTCCTTATACCCCCCGTCTTTTTTTTTCACCCTGAACTAAAAATCTTTCTAATGGAGGCTGAAAGCATCTTTATTTAATACTTAGGTCACTCCTCATGGGAAGTATTTGCATCTTTGAATACTCAGTTATTTTTGTTTTAATTGTGTTTTTCCAGTCATTACACCTTGTTGTCCTAAGAAAATTTATAGCAATTTTTTTTGTTTTATGCAGTACGTTTAGGCAGTCTGAAATATAGATCTATGAATATAAATGCTTGACTAATTACCATACTATCATCAGAAGCACAGATCATACCCTAAAACTTAAAGAAAAGCAGAATGCTGGAATGGACACACAATTCTTCACTGCAATGAAAAGATTTCAGTACCTACCCTAGATTTGGAATTGCCCATTCCCATTTCAATGTCCTTCTGTAGTCGTCTCCTCCTGCACTTAGAAAAGTTAATGATCCTCATGATGAAATAGAAAAAAGATTTGGGGCTTGGTACAAGACTGAACGGTGGAGGTAATGTTTTTCCATCATCAAAATACGATAACCAAAGTTTAGAACGAGCGAACTTCCACTCTACATCACTGTCATCCTGTGTTAAGATATAAAAACAGGTATGTGCTTTCTTTTTATGAAATGCAAAACTTCTTCCAAATGAAACTTCTTTTAAATACCAACCCTTTCTGGTTTTACATAAAATGTTACTTGCTTGCTAGTAAGACTCCCAATAGTTCTGCAAAAATGCAACCACTTTATCAAGTCTATTTTAACTGAATTGCAGTTGTCTCTTTATGCCAACATCTCATTGACAATACTTAGTTAAAGCATGTGAACCATTTAAACAAGCGTTATGTTTGCACTGAGTGAAAGCCAACATCCAAACTCCTTGCAATTTAAGGTGGAACTTTTTTGGTTTTTTAAAGTCTTGTTTTTCCTCATTAAAGTGGTCACACAAATCTAGTACTCGCACAAGTGACGAAGTATTAGCTTCAAGGCAGACATGGTTCAAAATGGTAGTACTCACAGCTTTTACATAACCATGAAAAGTAACTCTGATTTATAATGGAGTACAGAAGATACTAACTTTGTTGTCATGAAGAAATCGTGTTAAAAACTGACAAACTGATTTTGTCCTAATACATTTTTATGGAAGTATTCCAAGGCTGGACTTGGTTTACTCCAAAGGTGAAGAGTTTGTTTCTTTTAGCTAGTTTCCTCCT